TATATATATATATATATATATATATATACATCTGAAGAAATGTCTTATTGACATTGAAATGAAATTACTTTTATACTGAAGGATTATAATTAAAGGATGAAATTTAATCATGGTGTGGTATATCTGAATAAAAGACAATTCTATCAAAATATATTTCATGAAGTTTGTATGCTGTTCATTTCGGTTTCGCCTCGGGAAAAAGCTTCTTGTCTTTTTTTTACGTTGGGTATTCTGTAAGTCAAATAAGTTCCAATAAGAAGAAGAATCACTTGACTGAATATTGACCATAGTGCCCCAAAGTTTTCATTCAATTTTCCTAACAGTAAGACGATGACCACTCCAAACGCTTGTGTCGACGCATTAAGAAGACCTGCACTTGTGCTTTCGTCTAATGGATAAGTAATTTCCACTGCCATTTCGAATCCCACCGACATGTAGCAATTAGAGAAGAAGCTGAAAAAATACATTCCATAGACTTCATGATCTGTAGAGACAGATAGATATCATATTTTATTCGCAAGAAATATCCTGTAACTTTGTTGTGGTTCATTATGTGTAACTAGTCGAAAGTTTGCCTGATATGTTGCAAAAGAAATATTCAAAGTTCACTTTATAGGTATCATAACATCTGGCGTAAAATGAATCTCATGAAAAAAAATCCTCATCTTTTTAGTAGCTATTCTGTTTGAAAAAAAGTCTGTTTCAAATCTGTTTTTCCGTTAATCAGCTGTCGCCCCCACACGAACGACAACTCTCAGAAGTTGAGCAACTTGTGAGAGCTAAGCACTAACGAGGTCTTATCTTTCAACGTGTGATTCCCAACACGGCATATTGAGCGACACCAGACTTCTCTGGTCTATGAAACGAAATATGTGCATCATGTTCCTTGAAACGACTTACTATAAACAATTCAATTTCGTTTGACCAATATTTTTTTTCGATTCTCACTTCCTACTTGTGGAATGAAATATAATAACAACCTAACATAATCACTAATGTTGCCTCTACCTTGAACGTATACATCAGGTTCGAATTATTTATCGCAAGAAGAATATCTTTCATGAGATTTGATACATTTGTAGTAAGATTCAGCTGGGGCATCACATATAAAACTGTAACTTTGATTGATATTATTTACTCCACTTGTGATTGACATTTCAAAAATTTATTTGAAAACCTTGGTGACTAATAACTGTGAGATTTTCGAATTGTAAAAGAAAATCCAAAAAGATCATCATAATGAACAATAATCCGCGGTTAGTAAATTTTTATTCCAATTTTTCCATTAATTATGCATTCGGTAATTAAAATTTTTTATAAACTGAAAGTTAACATTGAAACCTTGATAATTAACAAATTGAAATCCTAGGATTTTTTCAACTCCGTGAAGTTATTCTCAATAGGCTAATGAATAGATCGCCGTTGCAGAAATTGAAAAAAATGGATTTTCCTCTTTTTCATTAACAATTGAAAATGAAAAATAAAGAAAAAGTATTTTATTTTTTTAAAAACTCAATTATGTAATGAAAGTAGTCATGTATGTTTTTTCGAATATTTTTTCCTGTTTTTCATATAGCTTTCAATTTTATCATGTTTTGAAATTTGTTTTTTTATCACCTCTTTTGTATTTAAATTATAATAACTCTCAAACTATTGCAGATATGACAATAATGCTTTCGAAACAACAACTTTTATACAAACTATAAAAAAAAACATTTTCCTCTATTCTGTATGTATTCCAATCATCCGTTGTGGAATTGAATCAGATTTCATTCACAGGATTGCTACACAATATAGTAAATGAAAGTGGTAAAATTCCACTCACACTTGCCTTATTGCCTCTTCAGCACCAATCTGGATAACATTATGAGATGTAGCACTCAATTCTTTCATAAAATCACGACTTCATGTCACGAATTAGTTGAATCTACTCAAGTCATCGATGACAATACATAACGACATTCATTCGCTTATTTGATTGAATCATAGTCATAGGGATCTTATTTGAATTGAAAGTGGTATATTTTTTAATAAAAGTATTTGTAGTTTTCTACTTCTCCATCTTTATACAGATTGTTTATACTTATACTATAAGTAATGGAAAATTGTAGAACTGTGGTCGAGCATTCACCATGCGAATACAATAGTAATAATGTATAGATAATACGCATTTGAAACCATGTTTTCAACTAATTTATGAATAAATCAGGATTAGAAACATTTGTACTTCAGTTTTTGCTTTCACATAGGATGAAATATTTTGAAAGATAGCACTAGTATTTACTGTTTCTCATATATTTTCGTTTCCTACATAATTATTTACTATTCATCAGTTCAAATATATTGAGGTTTGATACAATAAATTTTGCTATTTGTTCAGATAACAATGAAATTTTGATATCATTTAATGAACCAAAGGAGTAAAATTTATTCAAAAATGGTTTTCGGTCAATATACTCAGTGATATTCATCTCTTACCCAAACATGGCATATGTTAGATATACCAATAATTTCTTCTTCCATTGTAATGTCACCATGAAGAGAACCGCACTTACAGTAGTCAAAACGTAATTGAATAAAGTGGTGTCCCTGAAATAGAAAAATTCCAACAGCTCAAACTATACTATCATATTGTATCCATAACAACCTAAATTTCCTAGTCTTGTCGAGGTATACTCCATTCAATAGAGCTCCGGCGATTCCACAGCACACAGAAATGAATGCCATTCTCCCAGCATCTTCTTCAGCATTCTGTAAAAAAAATCTGAATTGTTTTTCTGTGGGAATCAGAATCATTAATCAAATCATCTTAAGGAACACTTTGTTCAGGCCAGTCTCAACTCTCCACTCTGTAGGTTAGTGGACTGACACCTATCAGAAAACAACTACTCCCCTGGCTTATACCACGAAGGGCGTTGGATTATATCCGACAGGTGTCAGTGTAGGATTCTTCACTGAAGTTATTCCTGCATATATGCTGTTGGTGATATACCTGCCTACAACAACCTACAGTATAGAGGGAGTTGAGACTGGCCTGAACAAATTTTTTCTGTAGATGATTTGATTCATAGCCAGTCTTCAAGTATGCCCACTGACTATATGGAAATTTTTTTCCTTATACAAGGAATTGGGCAAACTTCGGATATGCGGTTGGTTATCTCGTTTACAGGCAGGTGGGGCGATGACAAATCTGTTGTTTATTTTCCGCTTCAGCCTAGTTCGAGGAATGATACTCTGAAGGAATTCAATTTTTAATTATCGTAAATCACCGACTTTAAGTTGATGATAGACACTAACTTGCACTGACGAGTGGCCAAACAGCGCGGAAACCGGTCTGCAAGTGTGTTCCAATAATTGAAAATCTATTGCGGCAGTTTTATTGCAAACAGCATATGCAGGAATAACTTCAGTGAAGATTCCTGCACTGACACCTGTCGGATATAATCCAACGCCCTTTGTGGTATTAGCCAGGGGAGTACTTGTTTTCTGATAGGTGTCAGTCCATTAACCTACAGTGTAGGGAGTTGAAACTGGCCTGAATAAATTGTTCCTTCAGATGATTTGATTTACAGCCAGTCTTCAAGTATGCCCACTGACTATATGTGAAGAATCATTAATGAATAATTCTACACCAACAACTTTTCGATGAAAATATTCGTGAAAAAAGTTTGATACCGTTACTCATTTTGACTTAAGTATGATTCACATTACATATTTTTCTTGTTATTGAGTATAATTGGCATACTAATAAGCTGATACTTTTTGGTAAAAAAAAATTAATATTCCATGTTGTAGTTTTCAGAGCGGTTTATCGAACATGTACTAGAAGACAAACCTTCCAGGGAAAAAAATCGCAAATACCAAACACACGCCTAGGAGCAAAATCTTTAACCTGTATCTGCAGAGTAGGGAGAGTGAGTGTAGACCTACAGCACTTAGGCCACATGTGACCCATTGTACATCCTCCCGAAGAGTTGTCCTCCTAATTCATCGTCCATCCAGTCCTTTCCAGGAAGGTGGACAGGTCACTAGGTGGCAGATGTAAGCCAAGACTCGCCGAACACACACTCTCTTTGGCAACTTTGAGGTGTCTCACGGTGGCCTCCGCGAAGGCTTCGGAAGGTGCAGCGACCTTACTGTCGTTGCGCGGCTTCTTCAACCTTCTTGGGGTTCCCTTCGTGGAGGTGAACAAGTGAGAAAGCTTTCCTGCAGGGGCAGCCGGTTCCTTTCCTTTATTCAAGGCGGAGCTCTTGGCGCTCGCCGCAGGAAGTGCCCTTGTTGTTGGAGGTGGAGTGGAGAAGGAGGAGGGTGCACTTATAGTTGCTGCCACTCCTGCCTCTTTCGCTCTCTTTCTCCGTTTGGCCTCGGCGCCGCAAACTTGCTTACGCGTTGGCCTTTGTATTGCATCACGAGGTGATCTGCTTTGTCCAGCCGCCTCATTTCAAGCGGTAGATTGGAGTGGACATTTTTACTCATCCCCAGCCACCGTCTTAGATTGAGGTGAGCACTTCTGTCCAGCCTCGGGATTGGTTTTTGTTTTTGTTGTTTCTGTTTTTGTGTTTGTTTCATTCATGTGTGTTCCCACGAGTAGAAAGGGAAGAGTTGGTCACCTCTGGCAGAGCCCCGCATTACCAGAGAGAGGCTGTTTACAATGAGGTTTCGCCCAGTTCCACAAGGGAATCGTTAGTAACCTTCGTAAACGCGTATCACCCTGCGGCCATTCAGCTGTCGGCACCATTCCTTACACCTTAGCTTGGGTAGGCTGGTCCTCGGTGGCATGTTTTGCAAAGGATTTTGGGTAGTTTTAGTTCCCCTCACCAATCTTCAACCTGTTTTATAGGATATACCTGTATTGATATAAGAAAAATTACATTGCTTATAGAAGAACTAGCTTTTACCCGTGTCTTCGCTTGCATTTATGCCATTAAATAAGTTTCAGTACAATAGAAATGAATCAATCTGGAATGCTAGATGACGTTGAAGTAGCTAGATTTTTATATTTTTTTGACAAACAATTTTTTCATCATATATAAAAATATTTTTTTTATATAAAAAGTATCCTATGTTACTAATAATATTTCCAAGAACGTGTGTACAAAATTTCGTGAAGAACGGTTGGGTAGTTTTCGCGTGCAACCGTAACAAACAAAATTACATTCGCATTTATAATATTAGTAGGGAAATAGGGATTATCAAAATTGATACAAAATGTCATTTTTCAAATAACTTACTGGAAAATATTGCAGGACAAATTGATTCAGTAATGTTCCCACTGATGCGAAAACTCCTATGTTTATACCAAACGCAATCAAATGGCATATATATGCATTTTGTGTAATCATGGCTTTGAATGAAGAAAGAAACTCTTTGAACGTCTTGGATTTGATTTTTCTTGCATGCATTTGTGCAACAGATGGTGGTAATGCTGGCTGACGAGGAAAAACTGAAAAAAATCATGGAGTTGAAATTCATAATACAGGCAATTCAATCTCAGAAAATTACTATATTAGATGAAACCTCGAAAGTAATGATTTTCATCGAGTTCTCTCTGGAAAGATATACTTTCTTTTGTGAGATAGGATTGTCTGTTCTGTTTATCGTATCTACTGTGAGTAGTAATGTACGTATTTTTCTTGATTTATCCGTTGTTTTCAAATACTATATTTTTTTCTCTGTTCTTGTCGTCATTAATCTGAGTTACTTAATCTTCTATTTTTATATTAACGGTGTATTCGAAATAATATTGTTTGCAATGAATCGAACGCCTAATCACCGAGTCATAACCTTCAATATAAATAGCTTTCATTTGTAACCACTCGGTAATATCTGCCTTTCTCCAACACGATGTCGGCAGCTTCACCACTTGTCTAATGTGGTAACTTGCGTTATCCATTACTACTATGGATCCCTGCGGAAGTTTTACAAGTATGTTTTTAAACCATTTTCCGAATACTGTGGCATCCATTTCTTGATGATAATCCTCGTTTTTCTTCGATTAAAACAGCATCAATCCATCTTTCACGAATCCCTCACTGCTGCCTATGTGAGTGATACTGATGATGCACTTTTTGGAACGTTTGGTGTAGTAATGGATATTACAGGAGTTTAGTCCCAACACCAAACCGTTAATTGTAACCGCTCGACCGTGTTTCAATCACCAAGTGATCATCTTCAAAAGAAAGATTAAACACGTATCGAGGTGTTAAAAATAACGGTTTGGTGTTGGGGTCAAACTCCAGTAATATTGATTTTATATTCATATTTATGTGAGTGATGATCAGGCGACGACCTTCACCAACTGGAATTTTCGAACCAGTGGATATACCTTCCATGAAGGCTTGACTTCCACTTTTGATGTTCTGGTCTTGTCAGTTTCAATTGTTTAGCTAGTTTAATTTGTTGGTGAGAGGCATTGACATTAGAGACCTTTTGCGTGTTCTGCAATTTTCTGTTATCGAAAACAGTGGAAGGAAGAATTTGCATGAAGTTTTGTGTAAAAATGGGGTTTGAGTGCTCAAAAACACTTTAACTGTTGACACTGGCATATATGGTGATTCTGATTCAGAAAAACATGGTACAAGTTTTTCACTGAGGGCCGAAGAAATGTAAATGACCACGCCTGCCCTGGATACCTCAGCACCTCAGCACCTCACACCTCAGTGAAGAAAATTGTTATGGAGAATCGCCAAATCAGCATTGGAGAAGTTGCTGAGGATGCCGATAATCGATTGGCTCATGCCATGCAATTTTTTTGGAAAATTTGGGCATGGAGCGTCTCATGAGCATCGCTCAGGAATTAGTGAATGACGTCAACGGAGATTCACATTTGCCTAGAAGGGTTGACGAATCAACATCGTTATCATTCGTTAGCCACCTTATTCACCAAACTTGCCCACCTGTGAGACACATTAAAGGACGGCATTTTGCAACGATTGAGGAGATGAAAACCATGTCGCTGAGAGAGAGTTCAAGGATATACCACAAAGTGTATATCAGAATGGCTTTTAGGATTGTAGAGAACGCATTATATCTGAGGGGGAATACTTCGAAGGAAACAAAATAGAAATTGATGAATAAATGAATATTTTTTGAGAAATGAAAATTCATCTCATTTTTGAAGAGGCAGCGTATGTGAAAATGTTTATATCAGCAAAGTAACGTCCTAGGTTTCTATTTTTCTCCAGTATATCGTTGGAGGTTAGACACATAATGGATTTCTGATGAAAATTAGCGTTGATATAATACGTTTCGGAAGAAAACCATCAATTACTACTTGTTAGGAACCGTCTCTGAAAGAACTGGAGAGTCACGACCAAAGTCAACTTGTCGAACAATAACGTTCGAGTTCAGCAAAAAAATCGTTATAGTACTTGGTCAGAAGCTCTGATAATATATAGCACAATATCCCAAACTAATCCTTTCTCAACTGAAAGGTTCCAAAGTTAGGTGATATATAAGGAGGTTGCCTGTTGAGTTTTGCTCCTGGTAACCACATGAGATGTCGAAGCATTTTAAATATTTGAAAATGTGTTAATTGACATGATTTTTCACTAGTTTTGGAACAACTGATCTGTGGTAATTTAAAAGCGATTCCTTTTCTTTTTAGAGCATGGACTGAAACCAACCGGTTTTTCAACAAATATAAATGATTTCTTCCGAAAGACAAGTTGAAACATCTGGTGCAAATTTGTTGACGTATTGATGAAGTACGATGACAGGTATTTCATCGACATCAGATGCTTTATCGATGATAGCTGTTTCAATATTCGTCTCGTTTGATAAGACTTTATCCATTGTGGATGATACGCTGAGGATAGTGGGATAGTGTGTTACCTTGAAAATAGTCAACTGTAGAATGGGTTGCAATTTGTTCTGCGTCTAAATTTGGTTTTTGTCCCTCTGTTGTCACCGTTGAATTATCTGCTGCCATTATTATTGAAATTTTAGATTTCGTGGAATTTTATCTCACGATTGAAGATGAAGATTTAGAAATGTAGGGACTCGCAATCGGTTTAATAGTTATATTATTACTGATGTATAAGAAACTCATCATTCATCTTGAATGATGAATTAGTAACCTAACCTGTCTGAAAATGGATGCACTGAATGAAGTGAAAGCTGAAAATGAATTATTATAGAGCTATCCAACCAAAATAAGTAGTATATAATTCGGAACCACAATCGGTATAGACCTCTAGGTTATAGTTTGTGGCGATGTACTATCAAGTACTAACACGAGGTGCCCATTCAAAAAAAAAACAATATTGTGAAGTAATAAAATATTCGCAAACACTTCACGAGACTGATATTGATATGATGCTTTCTCGTATTCAAATTCAATTTCAAATTCATATTTTGATTTCTTGTCAACGATTTCGTCATCATGTATGCTACTGTACCAATTTCTTGATTCAGAATTGCTTGCTATTACTGGCGGTCATATGGAATTGTTCTAGTATATTCACCACCAATTACCCATAAGAGATTCTAGAGAGACACTGTGCAATTTCAATAATTGATAATAATAATACTCTCTTTCAGTGCCCAAGGGAGTGTCCCAGAAGGCAGAGGTTTGTGTTAAGAGATGTCTATCATCATTAGTACAGATATTTACTTCTTTTTCATGGTGCATACACCCAATAGGTCATCAGTCGAAACTCTTCGCAATGATCAGTATTTACAAAGCATTTATCAATTTCTTAGATATTCTGTCTATGTACAAAATGTCTATGCTATATAATAGTCTATGTAATGATTTATTACTCACAGAATACTATTGCTATGGAAACGGGGATCATATAAATGGCTAATCCTTGACACAATGTACGTAAATCTGATCCTATTGAAATGACATCCCCACTATTTTTAACCAGTGTTGGAGGAATCAGGAATCCCAAAGCGAAACCCACCTGAGTGCCCAAAACACCAAGGGCACAAGCAGTTGATGCCTGAAAATCAAAAGTTTATTCTAATTGGAGTTTTTTTACTCATGAAATATGATTAAAATTATGAAAATACATCTATCACTTAAGTAGTCAAGGCATCCATTGACTCAATCTTCGAATGATAAAGGCGGTCAATTGCTGAGTCAAGCTTCAACATCGACCGCCAAACAAGATTCGTCCTTGTCTTTCACTGTAGATAGCGCTTTTTCGACTCGACAGATGTCATCAGTGGTGCTAGGCTGTATCACGAACTGTCCTGGAAAAAACAAGGCTGAAAGTAGAGGCGTCCTCATACGACGACGCCATTTATGGGATCGACAGAAGACTAAATCCTCGAATATCAAAAATAACCGTTTCCATTACCTTTATTTTCAGTTTTTTTTTTTTGATATTTCAGTGGTTCATTCAAGCACCACTGATGAAACCTGTCGGATCGAAACAGCGCTGTCTGGAATTTAATTTCAAACTCAACTAATGATAGTGACAGAATTCGATAATAATTGAAAACGAGTTTGTTAATCACTTCCAAACAAATTTGGCAGGATTACACTTTGTAGTAAAATAAAGAGTGTTGTGATATTCAACCAGATAGTTATTGAGTATTGAATTAATATTCGTTTGATTATATTCACCTTTAGTATCCATAAGAGCTTGCTAGATATTAATTAGACAATGGTCAGCTGCATCATTAGAGGAAGGCTGATGTGGTGTTGTTGAAGAATGAATACAATATAAAGCTGAATTGGTGATCCAGAATGCGCAAAATAACCTCCTAGAATGATCTTCAGCAAACTAGGAGTAATAGACTACAATGGAAAAATCTCCGATTCTCGAAAAAATAATCCGCGCTCATCAAAAATGAATGGACTCATTCTGAATGTAGCCTATACCAAGGTTGTTCAGGTTAATACCAATTTTACAACACCGATTCATCGAGTGATTTTTTTATTCAAGTTTTATGCATCTGTTACTTTTGTTTCTAGATAATTGGCCACCAAAATTATGAGTGCCAGAATTTCAATGTGTACCACTGCCATATGACTAGCAAGTAAACTCTCTAATAGCTTGATCCATTCGTAAAACTAGTTTATATTCAGTGTATTTTTATTTTTCATTGCAATAAGATTACTGGAGTATTTCGAAAATGATGCCTACATTGAAAACATTAGTTTTTGAAGGCGCTTTGAGACTGGTGCCTGTGCAAAAGTAGTGATTCACGTTCTCAAAATGAAAGAATTCTCAAGCAGTGAAGTTCTAGGTGTACTGAGTTGAACCTCGAAACGACGAGCAGCCACAGTCCGTCGCGTATTTCTGACATGTACCGGTTTTGGTGGAATCAAATGTGCCAAGTCACTTGAACACCTCTCGTGAAAGTATCTGTAGAAGAGAGACAAATCTCAAACCATTCTTCGATGTTCCAGACTATCAAGGACTATCAAGGCAGTAGCTTCAGTGTATACTTAGAGGCGGAGCTCTATTCATGAGAACAATACTCCAAAGAAGGTCTGATCTGAGCTTTATAAAGTATCAAAAGTTGCTGAGGGATGTACAGTTTTCTGGTTCGGAACAGTGTTTCAAGGTTTTGAGAAGCAGCCTTTGCAATTCAAGCGACATGATTGTGCCAAGATATATTGGTGTTCATTTTAACATCCAACAAATTCATCGAAGCAGAATTGTCTGTCCTGACATTATTATATCCGGTTTGGACTCATTTTTCTTTTTGGAGAAAACCGATGACTGGGTTTTCGTGGCGTTGGATTGAACCTGATTACTTTCACCCCAATTCGAAATCACCTCTGGATCCTCATTAAGATATGCAACCTTCTGCTGCCGGTGAAGATGTGCATTTGCAGCCGATGTCCTGGAGTCCAAATGGAATGACGAGACAAGTGTGCTCTCGTCAGTGAGCACTTTATTGGATTTTTGTATTTTCTAATAAGTCATTAAGTCGTTGAGATACAATAAAAAGAGGGTTGAAGACAATATGGATCCCTGGAGAACACCAGCGTTGAGATATCCTTCGACGATCACTTGCAGGGAACGTTTCTTCAGGATGCTGGAGAGCCATATACAAAAATTATGCGACAAGCCATAGCATCGAACTTAGGTCAGCAAACACGGCCAAATGCCTTAGAAATATCAAGCGCAATAGCTCTTGACTCTCCATGTTTCTCGATTGGGTTATTCCAAATATGGGTGACATACGACAGAAGGTCTCCTGTTGGTCTTTGTTTACGAAAGCCATATTGACCATAGCCATATTGACCATAGCCATATTGATGATAGCAAAGCGACTGGTCTGAAGTTGTTTGAAAGATTTTTCTTGACTTTTTCCGAAATGGGCTGAACGCGAGCAATCTTCCAACTAGGAGGAAAAAACCCCATATGCCTTGTTGATATTGAGCTGCTTCAAAATTCGCCTGACTAGACTAGTATGAAAGTTGCTTCGATCGAAGCACTAGCAGAAGTAATCAGGGACTGTGGTTGGTATTTTTTGAAAGATTTACACGAGGACACTTTCGTCAGTTAGTGTATATTGTATATTCTGTAGACATTCTTCTGTAACCTTCGATCCCTCATAAGATTTGTTTTCATCCATACCACAAAATACCAATGAACTGAATTTCTTAACATACATTTCTACGAATTTAAGTAACACATTTGAAGATATTTTCACTACAGAAAATTTTGGAGATAAACTAAATGATAATATCAGCTTCTCACTAGAAAGTTTGGACATGAGTAATCATGCAACAAACAAAATGGCTACATAATGTCATGCAGTGAAGCGTTGAATCACATTCAAACCCCTAACAGTGGACATTACACGACATAGTGCAGACACCCCTGTAGCAGTGTGTGACACGAATAGAATCCTTCAAGAGTGTCACACTTAATGGCATTCCTCGAGTTATCAGGAATTGGCGACTATTGATAATTATGTTTTTGAGTTTGTGTTTCGATTTATTTTTTTTTGTTTTGTTATCTAACACAATAAGCTAGGAAAAAACCCCATATGCCTTGTTGATATTGAGCTGCTTCAAAATTCGCCTGACTAGACTAGTATGAAAGTTGCTTCGATCGAAGCACTAGCAGCTTCTCACTAGAAAGTTTGGACATGAGTAATCATGCAACAAACAAAATGGCTACATAATGTCATGCAGTGAAGTGTTGAATCACATTCAAACCCCTAACAGTGGACATTACACGACATAGTGCAGACACCCCTGTAGCAGTGTGTGACACGAATATAATCCTTCAAGAGTGTCACACTTAATGGCATTTCTCGAGTTATCAGGAATTGGCGACTATTGATAATTATGTTTTTGAGTTTGTGTTTCGATTTATTTTTTTTTGTTTTGTTATCTAACACAATAAGCTTTCAAAATTATTATATTTTATTCTCAAGTGCAGAAGAATTGACATCTGGGAATATTTCTTAATGAACTTTGAGTAAATATCACAGATGATAATGTCTATAAATCAGAAAAAAATGTTGATTTACCTCAGAATCTTTAAACCAGACTGCAGCAATTTTAGTTGGGAGACATATGACAAATACTTGAGCAGTTGATCCTATGGCTTGTCCAATCAGAACCACATAAAATAGATCTCTTCGAATGGAAAAAACTTTTACAGCTGCAGCAAGGGCGGTTCCCAATCCCCCTATTAAAGCTGCTACTCTTAGGCCCTGAAAATAGAGTAGAAGTGACATTTTGGTTCATAATATATTGGGCCTGTATATCTAGATAATAAAAGCAAATTTTTAATTTTCTAAAATCATTTCAAGGATCAAAGTTGTTTCAAAATTCAATTCGATAGACGGAAAATTGTTTCATAGATATTACCTATTTGATTCACTTTACATTGCCTGCTGCCAACCTGAAGAAACATCAATATGTTCTTTCTATTTGGTCAAATATATTTTTTATTGGTTGTGTAGTAGAAAACAATAAGGTATTTTGATTCAAATAAAACAAAGTTTGTGTGAGATAACATCGAAATCTTCTATTCGTGTGAAAGACCTATTGATGTCATTATGCGAGGAATATAACACCGTTCACCGCCATGGCTTTGCTGAGTGGAGCGCACCCAAAACGTCCAATTTTCCATGACTCATGATGAATTTGACCGATGGCATGGGTTATCAGTGTCATTGCTTTTCGTGTCATTGCCGTGGATTTTTGGACATTTCTTCCTGACGTTTCGCTGGCGCGAGTGGCTAGCTTCTTCAGAGATTTTAGGCTTCGTGAAGCGTATTTATGCCTTGTCAGGTAATCCGTTATATTTGTACCTACATTTGTCTCTGCATTTGTACCTGTATTTGTACCTGCATTTATACCTGTATTCGTACCAGCACTTTAACCTGGAACATTAACAATCTTGCTGCCTGTTGTCCTGTTCGTTATTCTCGAATTCCTTAAAATGGGGTTCCATATTTGATTGAGGTCCACCGTTTCTTCTTTTCTGTTAAAATTATCCGTGTGTTTGTGGATCTCTATTGCCTCCCGTTCCAGTCGGCTATGGTATCCCTGGTTGGGGGCGGGGCAATTAGTTCTGTGTTTTCAAACAAGATTCTGTGATCTCCTTCACTCATTGCGTGTTCTGCCACAGCTGACTTGTCCGCTTGGCCTAGTCTGCAGTTCCTTTTATGCTCTTTAAGTCTTGTTCCCATGGATCGTTTGGTGGTTCCGATATATACCTTTCCACAAGTGCACGGTATGCGATAGACCCCTGCTACTGATAATGGGTCTCTTTTGTCTTTAGCCGACCTGAGGCTTTGTTGTATCTTCCTCGTGGGTTTGAAGACTGTTTTGATGTCGTGTTTGCCCAATAGTTTTCCAATTCTATCCGTGACCCTAGGGATAAACGGTAGATATTCGCGTGCAACCATCCGATCCTTTTTCGCTTTCTGAACTGTGGTGCCCTTCGGTCTCATGGCTTTTCTGGTCTCGGAGGCACTGTATCCATTCGATCTCAGGGTCACTTCAAGGTATTTCAGTTCCCTGTCCAGATGTTCTGGTTCACATATTCTCCGAGCCCGTTCCGTTAGAGTGGAGATAACTCTTCTCTTTTGGCTAGGATGGTGGTCCGATAGTGAGTGCAAGTATATATCTGTGTATGTAGGTTTTCGATACACTTTGTGGGTTAGTCTGGTACCACATCGTTCTACTGGTACATCTAGGAAAGCTATCCGTTGGTCTTGCTCAATCTCCATGGTGATGTTGGGCGTTCGTTTAGGAAACGGTTCAGGACATCTCTTCCATGTTTCCAGATGACGAAGGTGTCATCCACGTAACGTAGCCACAAGGTTGACTTCAATTCTGTCGTTTGAAAACACAGAACTGATTGACCCCAACCAGGGATACCATAGCCGACTGGTTCATTGAAAATAACCGCTCCAGCCGTAGCTATTAGCGGTAAATATATAAAATATTTCTAAAATATTATGCAATTGTTAAATTGTGAAGTATTATATTCAACCTATCCATTCAATTGAAATGAATTTACACATATTAGAAGCCGAAAATGCAGAACAAACTTTATTGATATTTCTATCTATCTATCACAGATGTTCCAGAGTATTCTAGGCCATTTCCCAACAATCCAGAATGTTTGTGGATGTTCTGGAATGTTTGGAATGATTTCGAATGCATTTGAATTCTTTGAACTGTTCTTTAACTTTCAAGAGGACGAAACTTTCAGCCCTTGAGATATTTGATGAAATCGGCCGATATTTGATGAAATTACATAACGTATTCAAAAAACATTTCATTGTGAGATTTTCACTGAAAAGTTCAACAAAAGAGCTAACACGAGTTACACACTAGTAAAGACACGCCTGAAAAAGCCATTGCATGACGAAACACGTTTTTGTGAAACTGTTCAGTGAAAATATCACAATGAAGTGTTTTTTGATCATTTCAGCCTTCATATCTCCAAAACCACGCCCCGCAATAATTTTTATTCAAATAATAACCTGAAAACTATTTATATATCAAGCAAATATTAATATTTCTTTCACTTTCGAAACCGATTTTTCCAAAACTGTTTAACAACAAATAACTAGCATGATACCGTTGGAAAGTGAATGGATAACCCTTCGAGACGTATCACTTGATTCCCCTTTTATCTACCCTACATAACACAGGGATCAATAAAATAGCACGAGGAAAAAGTTCTTGAAACCATTTCATTGAAAATGAAATTGATGTGTCTTTTTCGATTTTCCATAACGAGAGTGAAACATTTTTGATTTGATATCCTATATATTCTTGTGGAAATAATATCCATATCCATTCATATAGTTACACAGTGACAATTGGAGTCGAACAGGGGAGCAATTAAGTGTTATTTTGTCAAGCGCAACTCACTAGCAAAATCCTTCTGAAAATTATATAAATTCAGATTGAATTACACTTTAATTTGTCTTGTATAACGATATGTTATTGATTCCTCTGTGTTATTGATTATTCATACTTCCTCGGAACGTTGAATAACAGATACTTTTTATGTGGCTTTCATTCCTTGAACGAATTTTGCTCGACGTCATAAAAAGTGGTTGGAAATACCTGGGAGACTAAAAAACTTCCCAAGCCATTTCGAAGAATGATTATACTGGCTAACAACGATATTGAAACACTTATAACATCACCAACTTTATAACATTTATTAGTCTATTCAACAACAATGTCAGTTTCAGACTGCCCCACTTAAACATATTTCAACCCACAAAGGAATGTATCATCCTCTTATGTAAACCTATCAGGTGATATTCAGGGCTGTCCCATCCAGTACTCCCAACAAGATAACGTCCAGGGCTGTACGGAGCTCTGATTCTAACGCACTCCCTAACACATGGTATCTTCACATGTGAAAATGATTGAATTATATAGCCACAAATTATCATGAAGAATACTGATGGTATCTGCCAAAAAACATAGTGATTCCTTATTTGTTGTATTGCATTATTAATAATTCTTATCTTCGAAAATGAAGTTCAAAAATCTCTAAATTTTTTAAATGTACATGAGTACATTGATATGCCAGGAAAAAGTTTCAAGAATCGTCCACTAAAAAGTAACATTAAAGTTTGCATTTACCATATGACCTAATTTTAGCTTCCAGGTGTCAATGGAGGGGCTAGTATGGACTTAAATCCAAATTTGTGGCGTCGCGACCCTTGTCTCGTGGTCGCCATATTGGAAAAGGGGGTGCAGGTGGTTTCAATAGTTTATCTAGCAAACCATTGGTCATGCGGAGAAAATTTGTGTGGACTTTTTTCCCTATAAATCGAGTTCTCTACAACTTTGGTCCTATAACTTTCAGTCAGAGAACAAAAAAGTTGTAAGCGGAAATCGATGAACATTCTGGAACAAATTTTATTTTGATTTTTATGACTTTTTCTGATTATAATACAAAAATGTTCGGAGCATGTCATCTACTCAGTATTTGGCTTGTTCTTTTTAGGACAGTTGAGTGTTTCAGTTTAGCACCACTGACGATGCAAATGAAAAAGGAATGAAGCCGAAAAAAAGAACGAAAAATAAATACCTAAAGTTCACCACCAAGAACGGCAAAGTACAATTTCGAAACTGTGGATCTTTTGAAAAAATATTGCGATTTCATTTCCATGTACTTCATACCGAAATTTATTTTTCGGACCAGGTTGCAAACTGGGTACTCCGGTCATCGATAAAGTTCATTTATCAAATTTTATTCTTGGAAATATCATCCATCCAAATACATGGAATATTTGAAAAAATAACGGATTTTACTAACGACGGAAATTTTAGAGGAAATCACCTGATATTTTTCCCATCAAAATAATTCATTCATAAGATATTATTCTCACACACTGATGAGAATTCTCCAAAAAAGTAGTTTTTTATAAAGGCTGCAATCTATTTTTCGAAAAACCACTTTTTGTGATAACCTGATATCATATCACATTATATATGTGAATATGATATATCAAATTAGGTTAGGTTAGATTAGGACTAAAGTGAGTGGGTATATTCAACCCTCCACCGAAACCCGCTAGGGTTTATTGTGACTTACACCTATTCACACTTGGCCAAATAAACCCAGCTTCTTAAAGGAGCCGATTAGTTTGTATGGTGAGTGGTCTTTCAGGCCAAATGGTGAAAGAACGGCTCTGCCGAAGTCTACGAACCTGATTCGGTCCCCAGCGGGGCAGGCACAAAGTATATGCTCTACTGTTTCATCATTTTCCGAACAAAGGCGACACACACTGTGTTTCGACAGTCCAAGTCTCTGCATATGATGATTCAAATGGCACTGATCTGTAAGAAGGCCAGCTAGACATCATAGTTCATACCTACTGTAGTTCAACAACTGTTTGGTATCAATCTTCGAATGGTGGATAAATGCGTTGGAGTGAGCCAATCCTGGAAAATTCTGCCAGAAGTCTATAAATCTTCTTGTCATCCAGGTGTTCAATGTTTATTTGGCAAAGCCTAGGGCTATCCCAATGACAGGTTCTGGTCCGATGAAGCTGGTTGCAGCACCCTCTTTTGCAAAGGAGTCAGCAGCTTCATTACCTTCCAGGCTAGTATGGCCAGGAATCCAGACCACAGACAATTTGTTAAATCTTCCTATCGAGGAGAGTCGTTTTTGGCAATTTGCTACCAACTTAGACGTTGCTTGGTAGGAGCCAAGAGCTACCAACGCCGCTTGAGTGTCCGAGAATATTTTTATTGACTTGTATGTAAGGTTGGATTTATCCAATCTCTCCGCACACAATTCAATATCGTTAATTTCCGCTTGAAATACAGTCGCAAATGTTCCTAGCCAGATAGATATATCTGTCCTGGGTCTGCGACTAAAAATACCTGCACCAGAACTGGAAGGTATTTTTCATCCATCTGTGAACCAACAATTATCTGCTCCTGATATTTCCTTCTCCCGGAGGATCCAGCCTTCTCTACTCGGGAATACTACTTATAAGGCAGTTCGTAGTTCGCAGCATTTCCAAAATGCTGCGACTTTCAATGTCAACCAACAGTCTGTTGCACCTTGCATTACCTTTATTTGTACAATTGGCAATGCTCACAAGTCTATATGCAGTCCATCCAACCTCTCCCTTCAGAAAAATGTGGAGAGGAGGTAGATCTAGAAGGATCTCCATGACCGCTGACGGTGTGGTACTGATGACACCACTGATAGCCAGACAAGCTTGTCTCTGTAAGCCAGAGAGCTTCCCTTGAACTGTTTTCTGTAAAGCCTTCGGCCACCACGCAATTGCACCATAAGTGATCATTGGTTTGACAATCATCACATTAATCCAATGGATTTGTTTGGGACCCAAACCCCAAGTTTTACCACAAATCCTTCGACATGTCTATAGAGACAGTCTGGATTTGTGTTGAACTCTTTTCAAGTGAGCGTTCCAGGTGAGTCTTTTGTTAAGGACAATGTCAAGATATTTCATCTCGGTTCCAAATGGAATGACCACACCATTGAGGGAGAGTGGCGTTATATCGTCCAATTTTTCCCCTTGGTGAAGGGGGTTAACACAGTTTTGCTGGGGCTGACAGATATCTGCTCCCTTAGGCACCAACTGTAAACAACGTCCAAGTGCTTTGAAGGATAATACAAGCTACCCTTCCCGACGTGGACCTTCCCATGATGACAAGGTCATTTGCATAAACTTGCAGATCAACTTTTCTTCTGTCGAGGGCATCAAGCAGACTATGCATCAGGAGCGACCACAGAAGGGGTCGCAGGGTTCAGGGTCACAGGGGTGCCTTTTGTGGGCACCCCTGGTGACCCAGAACCTAATGGCCTCGCCTTGAAGAGCCTCGTTGCAGTTTGCAGTATAGAGATAGGTAAATCATTGTCAAATGCTCCTTCAATATAAAGAAATACAGCAACGGCAATCTCCTTGTTGTCAAGGGATTGGGGAATTTTCTCAACGAGGTTGTTTAATGCTAAACCTGTCGATTTGCCGGTTTGATAAGCATACTGGTGGTTATCCAGGGGAGATGCATATAATGCTACCCTCCTGATGTTTCCGTCAAGTATATCCAATTAACTTTATACCCCAAATAGCAATTTTATAACAGTTGCGAAAATGTTTCGAAGAAACAAAATATAGAACTGTTTTTCTCCCAGAAATGTTTTCAATGTGGATATAAAACAGCTTAAGTAGGAAATTGACACAGTTTTATAAAACACTAGTACTGTGTTGCTGTATCTCTGCTGTTCCAATATTTTAACAGAATCAGAATCAACGAACTTAGGCGTGCGCAGCGTTATAGAACAGTGCTTTTAAAAAATTGTGCTACAGCGCCATCTAGTGACGAGTTACAAAAAAATTGATAGCCTTAAAACTTTCCCTATGAAAGTTTTAAGGCAATATCATGTCAAGTTTCATCACAATCGGTTGAGCGATGTAGAAGTTTATCACCTACGAACCAACCAACCAACCAACCAACAAACATCCATATAATATGATTGTATAATATCTATGTACTTTTCAGCTGTAAATATCACTATATTGTGAAGCTATAGATTCCAACAAAAGTGCTTGTAAAAAATAAGATTTCTCACGTATAGTTTGGATGAATATTATGTTTCTTATTAGTCAGTGGGATATGCTTGAAAACAGGCAGTAAACAAATCTAAAGAAATGAACTTTAAATGTTCAAGCCCATCTCGGATATACCTACACAGTGTGTTGAATTGACTGAAGCTTATCAGAAAACAACTACTCCTTTGGCTAATACCACGAACGGCGTTGGATTATATCCGACAGGTGTCAGTGCAGGAATCTTCACAAAAAATTTCCTGGATATGCAATTGGCAATACAACTGATGATATTCCATAATTGAAAATCACAATTCCATTTATCGTTGTGTGCAAATGTCCAGATAAATTATTTTTTTCAAGATCTATTTGAACAAAAAATGTTAGGATCCCAATAAATATTTCTTCAGTTTTTGAAAATTGGTTCACAGTAGGTGAACTCAAAAAGGTGAATAAACAACTTCCGTATTTTCCTGATGTTTTCAGATCCGGACCTGATATTTTCAATTCATTCACACCAATAGATTGTGCTGCTAAATATGGTATATTCAGCAGAAGTCATTACTGTAGAAAATATATCGATATAATTCCCATTGAAATATTTCGATATGAAGTGATTTATTTTAAATGTAAAATCTTACTTGGAAATTGAAATTTGATCGATTTTAAATTTGGTAATGTTATTTCAATTGCGATAATGATAAGAAACACATGTCTTGAAATATACAAGTCGCTCATAACTAACCAATTGTTTCGAAAATAATATACATTGTACTGTGTTGTAATGTATACTTAAATTTGTTTTTTTCACTGAAATTGAAAAATAAATTTGCTTAGAGGGCGTAACAAGTAAAATTCAACTAACCTTTTTATCAATTATATAGGACACTGGAATAACAATAATTGGATATATCGCCATGTATATGATGGACGTCCAATCCACATCCAAAGAGTCAACATTATAAAATTTCATAACAATATTCGTTATGATGGAGTATTCCAACCATTGAAAAGAGTTTGCCGCACAGAACATGTTGTATATTGCAAGAATCAGCCATCTTCTTCTGTAGACTTTGATTTCAGTTTCCGTACATTTTTCTAGCAGATCTTTATTTTCAGGCGATATCATCTTCGCTTGAAATCTGAAATGGAAAAATTTGTTAACACTACCCAGTCAGTTCTTGAGATATAACTAATGAAGAATTTATAAGTTTGAATAAACAACGACCTTCATTATCATTCTCATTAGCATTTACATTTAATCATATATTGAACGATGCTATTAACAACGGTGTTTCCCAAAAGTGAAGCTGATGCACTCGAATTGAAATGAAAAGAGTCGGAATAATGGTCTCATATGTCTCAAGATATTCAGTTAATTGCAAACAGCTAAAGTGCCTGGCAGCGGGGTTTTTCTTTGGAGATCTCAACGTTGTTTCGTCCAAAATTTTTATGTTGGCCAAACGGGAGAAACTTTCTCCCAAGGGATAAAAGAACATAGAGTTAGTTTTTGGAATGAGAAGACCAATTCAACATCTGCAAACCATCTTTTGCCAGAGGAATATGAGTTCAATTATGATAACGACGTATTATATTGAAAAAAAAATAGTTTGAAACTCAATCAATTGAGAACAATTGCACAATGAGCAAATGAATTTGAATAGTTCATATTTGTTGAATTCACTTCGTAATGATGACGTGGGTAATTATAGTGATATTAAGTACACTGTTATTCGACAGATTTTGGTCTTCGACCTTTTTTACACAATCGAGTAAATTTGGTTCTTTGATCTGGTCTACTCACATTTCCACTAGTATTTGTTCCTTCTTGTCTTTGTATGTTTTGCGAATCCTTCTGCAGTTTTCCGTGTGTTTCGAGAATTATTATATTGTTGTACATATTTTTGTGTATATTGAAATTTGCCAGCAAAGTTGCTCTGCATATTCACATTAGATGGTATCACTTTCATAGCATCTAGAAGTCAAACAGGTTGCAGAATTTTGGTGAGAGCTACATGGAAACACAGAAAATGATTTTTCCATCGACGATGGATGTCGAAGCCCTGACTTTGTAACAAGCGACCGTAAGAATCCTCGTTTATCTTTTGTATTCGTGGTTTTAGTTTTGTGTGAACCTCAAAGATGGTATAGTCGTAAGGTGAAATTTCATAAACACTTATTATTTATGTTGTTTTTGCCGTAAACAGAAAAGTTTAAACGTTGCTTTTATGACTTGGCTTTATATCATTGATCATATGATCGATGATAGATCGCAACAGCGCTGGTATTGGATCATGGATGCAACGTTTTGGATCTGGTATCATCAATACTCACACCAGTGGAGTTGGCACCATATATGATTTTTTAAAAAATAACTGGAGTTTGATTCTGCCCTTTAGTTTTTGTTTAGAATGAATATTAATTACACTTTAGTTGTCACGTGTTCTCCTGGACCTGTCAATTCAGGAATTTTTTGAACAATGAACCCCCACACAGCTGAAGGCGCGTCACTGTAATCAACCAATGACTTTTCCCTACCCCAAGACTTGTTGTACATACAAACCGGCCATTTTACCAAAAATTAACGAAAATATTTATAAATATAATAACAGTTTTATTCTTTTCGGACTCTACATGAAAATTTCAGTTATTGAACTCATGTTACAGTCAAACTACTTATGTATGTACACATAACTTTAATATTTTTCTCATTATTTTCTTCATTATTTTCATTATCGATTGTTGTTCCATGTCATGTGGTAGACTCATTTCGGTTCTTATTCTTTTGCAGTTCTAATTTATTCTTAGAAAGTTTGCCAAGAGTTGTTCATGCTCGGACACGAAATAAACTTTGAAATATCTGCTTAAATTGGCGTCAACGTATGATAGTCTTCTGCTGATCCTTCAGAGCCTACTCGACCGTAAATGTGTGTTCGCCTTTCTCTCTTGCTCCTACAGTTATATACGAAACGTAACTCTCTCTTTCTATCTTCACTAACGTTTACCTCCCTCTCCCACTTTCACCAGTTATAGCCAACATATATATGGAGTGGTTTGAAACTCTGACCACAAGAAACCCCGAGTCTGGTTGAGATACGTTGACGACACCTTCATAACCATGGGAAAACTAAACTAGACGCCTTCCTGAAACACATCTACAGTGTAAGACCTTCCATGACTTTCACAACGAATTGTCATTCTTATATGTATTGGTGAAGAGGACGACACTAAGTTAGAAACATCTGTATACCGAAAACCCACTCACACGGGACAGTATCTGAACCACAAATCCAACCACCATCAATCGACTGAAAGAGGAATCATCAATACAATATTAGACCGTACTTTCGGGCTCTGTAATACGAAGGAAGGTCTCTAGAAGGAATTAGACAACATCAAAAATGATTTTCAATGGAATGGCTACTCCAAATCGATGGTGGAACAGACTTTGGCTAAAAGACAGCAAAAGCCTCGCAAGGAAGAGAATCCGCCACAACTAGTGCTTGCTCTTCCCTTCATCAGAGGATTATCGGGGAGTGTAAGGAGAATTGGGTCCAAGTATAACATCAGAACCTGCTTCAGATCCGGAAACATCATCCGTAGCAGCCTGATGAAAACCAGGCCACCAAACGCGGGCTGCGATTCCAAGAATTGCATTTACCGGATACCCTGTGAGTGAGGAAAATGCTATATCAGTAAAAATAAGAGGCCATTGAAAGTTCGCATTGCTGAGTACAAGAAACACATAGGTACAGCGAAGGGAAACCAGCAAATCAGGAATAGCAGAGCATGTTTGGACCCATCAACATTACATCGAGTGATCCCAAGCTGAAATCATACTCAGGGACGAAAACTGGTTTAGGAGGAAATTCAATGAAGTTGCATACATGTTGTCCAACAATGTATTCAGCCAAGCTAGCGTAGAGATACGCAACAAGGTAACCCACAATCAAGCGAATAATGGTCATCTTTCGCTGAACTGGCGAAGCAGAAAAAGGAGATAGGTGAAAGTACTCGAATGACCCATAAATAGTCATCTCTCGGTGGAATTATTCCAGTCATGACCCGAAGACGATTGTGGATATTAACAGTTGAAACGTCGTGAAGTAACTTGGCTTGAATGTCTTAATTTTTTGTTTTTATTTTTTGTTTATTTGTTCTATTTTTTGCTTGTATTTTAATTCACTGTTATATTATTTCAGGTTTTTTTTGCTTAATATAATTGTTATTTTCAGCTATTATTTTTAATTTTTCAATTCTATTGGTTCTTTAGGGGATTTCAAATCATTTTATATAATTTCAGACAATGGAAGTCCGAACTAATCAAATACCCCATTTCCATGTAAACTCATCTACAGCGGAAGAAGGACTGTGAAACAAGCATTAGTTGGTGGACTTCAAATTCCGTACAGAACCAGATGGCCATTTTGTCAATCAGCCTTCCGAAACCACGCTGTGAGTCAGGTTACCAGACAGAAGACCATTGTGTTAATTCAATTTTTGAAATGATAAATTAACATGTGACACATGAAATTTTCCCTAGCACAAAGTCCCTTGCCGGACCTATCTGAAGGTAATAAACCCAACATACAGTTTCCACCAATGAACGAAGAGTTCCAAGTAAAGAGTTCCTGTGTATTATTCATCAAGGTATTATTGGGTTCCGTATGAACCGGAAAACTTTTATCGGAAACTCTGCGTAATCCTCTTGGGGTATGACAAAACTATAACTAACAGCAGTGTGTCTGGCACACACTAAAAAAAAGACCGTCAGTAGATAGCGGGCCTTACATAGTTTGCTCTTTGGCGACAATATATGGAGCTACATCTATATTTAATTATGATTCCAGTATCAAATTATTCCACTTAACAATATAAGTTACATCTTACTCAACTATCATATAATATTGAATAAACTAAACATTGACAAGAACTTATATTATTTGATTTCACACAATCTAGTAGGTAAATCTCGAGTTTTTACAATTTCATGAGCAATTTTACTTCTACAGGAATTATATCGAATGCAATAGTTAATGATTTTCATATCTTTGTCACCTTTACTGAATAAACATGGCTGTGATCTATTTTTTATAACCCAGATATTGTAGTAATTCATCGACACGTGGATTCCATGTTTTTGATGATTATTTCAAACCATAAAATGACACGTTTCAGCCGTAAAACTTTGTTTACACATCATTATTACACTGTAAATCTACTGGTTTCATCATATAAATAGTCTCATTCTGATTACGATTTGGGAATGATATTTTTCCATCAGCTTATTAAATAAAATCCCAAGATTAAATGTCTCAAAACAGAAGGAAAGGTTTGCATGGACCCCTGAGCAACCAATCGGACTATGTATATGATTTTATTGATATTATAATTTTTTTTGAAAGAAACAATATACGACTGTTACGAAAGCAATGAGATTCCTACAATTGAATTCATAAGGAAGACATTGAATACATCCGGCCATAACTTGAGCTGCTGTGACAAAACTCTTGGATAAAGAAACTAGGATTCAGATTTAAAATAATAAACAAACGTCAAGTAGTTATGGAAATGAATGAATATAGACAAGAACAACGACAAATTGCCTATTTAGACGAAATTTAGTATTACAGTCACGACACAGTTACGAAAGGTTGGACTGATGGTTTGATAATGTGTACGCCTAACATGCCTGCAAACAAATGATCGCGACTCATCATTGTGCATTGCGGAGGAAGTAAAGGATGGTTCCGAATTCTTTGAAATTATATGAAAAAAAACTCGAGGTCTGTAATGTTGACTATCATAATAACATAGAAGCTGATATTTTCGAGGAATGGTTTGAAAAAACATTGATCCCAAATTTGGATGCGAATAGTGTAATATGTCTTGACAACGCTTCCTATCATTCGCGACAGCTCATCAAAGTACCGAATAAAAATTCGAAGAAAGATGAAATACAAAGTTTTTTGATGGATAACAATTTGTATTTTGAAGATTACTATACCAAAAACCAACTACTTGAAGTTTTACAGACAAAAACATTTGAAAATATGTATGCCCTTGAAAGTATTGCCTAAAAGTATGGACACACCATACTGAGACTTAGTCCCTATTTTTGCGTTTTCAATCCCATATAATT